TAGCTTGACGTGTTCATTTTCTGTAACTTTTTCCGGCTTGTGATCCCACCAGTTCTTTGTCGCAGGCAGATGAGTTTGTGGCTCAGGTTCCAATGCATCATCTGAGCAACGGTGTTGTGCCTCTGCTTGGAGTCTGTCTGCGTGATCTTCTTGCAGCAGCTGAGGATGGGATCTATTGTTTCGCCTGCTTCCTTGCAGAGTCTACACTTGGATCTGTCGTCGACTTTTCAGTTCTGGCTTGGATGGAATTGGTTTGAATGTCTTGTTCTTGGGCTATCAGAATCAGGACCTCCTTTGTTTCCTTTTTCCAAGTTCCATTTGTGAGCCACAGCCATGTTTTTTCTTTGTCAATTTCTTAGTCAGTCTCCAGGCCGTTTTCAAGGGTAGCCCCACGTAGAGTGCAGTGCAGTAGTCCAATCTAGAGGCAACTAAGGCATGGACCACCGTGGTCAAGTCCAACTTCACGAGGTGAGGTCCCAATTGGCGCACGAGTTTAAATTATGCAGAAGCCCTCCCGGCCACCGCCGACACCTGCGCATCAAGCGACAGCGCTGAATGATCTACCACTGTTTGCCCCTTCGTCCCCTCCAAAGAATCACGTTACTCTGAGTAGAGACAGTCCCGAAAAGCGGCCAGACTGGCCCCCAACAACTGTACAGGAAATAAAGAGCATAATTCAAAGCCTACATAACAGGAAAGATCCCGGAGAAGACTTCTTACCCCCAGAGTTATTTACGTCCAAAAACAGCAAACTGCACCAAACTGCAAAGCACAATGAAGGCACACCACCACCTTCCCTATCAACCGACAGGAAAGTGAGGTTCCAGAAGGATCGGCCTTCAGTCGGAAGCGTATCACAAGGGTCTCCCTAGGAAAGAGAATGCTAGGATGTGGCCGCTTTCTGATTGGCTGCCACTTTCACAGGCACGGGTGACGGACTTGGACCAAACTTGGCACACATAACCCCCACGACCCCCTTTATGTCCTGGTGAGGTTTGGGGGAGAAAGGACAAAGGATGATGGGATTTGTAGTACCTTCAAACCCTTTAGTGCCCACAAAACACTGTGGCCCCCAACAAAGACCAATAAGTCCAAACTTGGCACACATCACCCCCCTGATCCCCTTTATGTCCTGGTGACATCGTGTATTAATCATCATCATAATAATAAAAACCAATAATTAGTTTTGAAAAATTCTAATTGTATTCTGAAATAATAGTATATTGTTAATAATAGACATTAATAATTTTGAAAACTCATAGCAATTGCATTCTGAAATAATAGTATATTATTATCATTATTATTATTAATAAAAACCAATAATTAGTTTTGAAAAATTCTAATTGTATTCTGAAATAATAGTATATTGTTAATAATAGACATTAATAATTTTGAAAACTCATAGCAATTGCATTCTGAAATAATAGTATATTATTATCATTATTATTAATAAAAACCAATAATTAGTTTTGAAAAATTCTAATTGTATTCTGAAATAATAGTATATTGTTAATAATAAACATTGATACTTTTGAAAACTCATAGCAACTTCATTCTGAAATAATAACATATTATTATTATTATTATTATTAATAATTATTTCAGAATGTATATTATTATCAATAATAAAAACCAATAATTAGTTTTGAAAAATTCTAATTGTATTCTGAAATAATCGTATATTGTTAATAATAGACATTAATCATTTTGAAAACTCATAGCAGTTGCATTCTGAAATAATAGTATATTATTATTATTATTATTATTATTAATAAAAACCAATAATTAGTTTTGAAAAATTCTAATTGTATCCTGAAATAATAGCATATTGTTAATAATAAACATTAATAATTTTGAAAAATCATAGCAATTGCATTCTGAAATAATAGTATATTATTATTATTATTAATAATAATAATAAAATAATTAGTAATTAACCAATAATTAGTTTTGAAAATTTCTACTTGTATTGTGAAATAATAGTATATTGTTAATAATAGACATTAATAATTTTGAAAACTCATAGCAATTGCATTCTGAAAAAATAGTATATTATTATTAATAATAATAAAAACCAATAATTAGTTTTGAAAAATTCTAATTGTATTCTGAAATAATACTATATTGTTAATAATAAACATTGATCATTTTGAAAACTCATAGCACTTGCATTCTGAAAAAATAGTGCTAATCCTCCCTCTTTTTGCGATCTGTACCATAACTGTTTGTTTAATCTATTTCTTTTACTACCATTACAATATTTATTTATCATTTGTTGCCATCTATTTAGCTCTTCTTCTGTAATTTGAAGTGGCAGCATCCTAAATATAAAATTTATCTTTGGAAGTATTTTCATTTTTATTAATGCTGTCTTTCCAAACAAAGATAAATGTATATTTTCATATTCTATTAATGTTTCTTGAACAACTTTTCTCAATGCTACTACATTTACCTCTTCCGTTTCTTTTAAATCCTTTGTTATTATTACTCCCAGGTATTTTAATTTATTCTTAATTCTAATTCCCATTTTGTTCTGTTCTATAAAGTCTTTTTCTTCTTTCTTTGTATAATTAAATAGCACCATTTCTGACTTATTCCAGTTAACTTGTTGTTTCCCCAAATATCTCCAAATGATCCTTTATTTTATCCATTTTGCTTACTATATTTTCAATGAATAACAAGGTGTCATCGGCAAATAAGCTCACCTTCTGCTTTTCCTTTATTCCTAGCCCTTCTAAGTTCTTCTCTTTCCTAAAGGCATTTGCAAATAATTCTATCACCATGGCAAACAACATTGGTGATAGAGGACAACCTTGTCTTGTTCCCCTTGTCACTTTGATTTCTTTTGTCACTCCATCATTTCTAGTTACTATTGCTGAATTTCTTGAATAATATTGTTCCAATAATCCTTTTATTCTACTTCCCATTCCAAATTTGTTCATAATCTCCCTTAATGTCCACCATTCCACACAATCAAAAGCTTTTAAAATGTCTAATGATAATATCCCTACTTTTATCTTCCTCTCTTGAACCACACACATTTTATTTAATACTCTCCCTATCAAATTTGACATTTGTCTTCCTTTTACAAACCCACACTGATCTTTTTTTAATATACTTGTACATGCATTTATTCATTCTATTGGCTATTATAGCGGATAAAATCTTTGCATCCTGATTAACTCATGATATGGGCCTATATGACCCTGGGTCCGTTAAATCTTTATCAGGTTTTGGTATTAATATTATTAATGACTTCCTCCATGATTCTGGCATCTTCTCTCCTTTCATTATTCCATTATACAGTTCGAATAATTTTGGAATCAATACTTCTCTAAAGCTTTTATAATATTCTGTTCCCAGACCGTCCAGACCTGGAGCTTTCCCTGCTTTTAAATTCTTAATAACTTCCTCTATTTCTGTCTTCTTAATAGGTTATTCCAATAATTCTTTGTCTTTCTCCTCCAACCTACTCTCCCAATATTCCTCCACATATTTCCTAATTGCTTCTACGGAGCTAGCTTTTGTTTGGTATAGTTCATTGTAAAACTATTCGAAAACCTTCAATTTTTCTTTCATAGATCTACATATTTTACACGTTTTATCATTTATCATACTTATCATACTTATTATACCTTCCATTTTCTTTGGCTAACATCTTTGAATTCCTATCACTAAATTCAAAAAATTCCCTCCTTAAATATATTAAATTTTCTTTTACTTCTTGTATTTACATTTTATCCAATTCCTCTTTTTTAGCTCTCAACCTTACATAAATTTGTATATTTCTCTTTATTACATATTCTTTTTCAAGCTCCTCCTCTATTTCTTTTTCTAGATTCCTTTTCCTTTCTTGCCTTTTTTGAGATTCATTGTCTCTTTTATGCATAACCCTCTCACCACCGCTTTCATTGTGTCCCATTGCACTCCTTTTGATACGTCCTTTTCATTCAATCCCCAAATTTCTTGCCATTCTGATTTCACTCTATCCACAATCTCTCTATAATTCCAAATTTTTGTATTCAATCTCCACCTCCTCATTTTATCATAATCACATTTCAAGGCAATCTCAATTGACACCAGGGCATGATCCGAAATCTTGATAATTCCAATATCAGCATTTAACAATTTACTTTACATGTTTTTAGAAACAAAAATATTATCTATTCTTGTATAAACTTTATGTACAGCCGAGTAGTATGTATATATTTTTTCATCTCCCTTTACCAGTCTCCACACATCCTTTAATTGCCATTTATTCTTCACTATGCTTAAGTCTGTTGTTTCACTATTTCTAATTTTTGACATTTGTGTAGTTTTATCTTTTTTTTGGTCCATATAACACAGTCAAAGGCTTTAGAATAGCCAATAAAAGGGAAATAGATGTTTTTCTGAAACTTCCTGCCTTCCTCTATTCTCCAGCATCCGGATGTTGGCCATTTGGTCTCTCGTTCCTCTGCCTTTCCTAAACCCAGTTTGTACATTTGGCAAATCTCTCTCCACGTATTTCTGGAGTCTTCTTTACAGGATATTTCTGTATGATCCAAAAGGGTGGATGAGATTAAAAAGTAGATTTTAAATTGTGACTTACTGCTTTACGTAATACTGTTATTGTGGACATTTAAAACAATTCTATTCTTAAAAACGACCTACTTTTGCACTTTGGACTCTGTTTGCAACAATGGAAGCATATGGGAGACAAAAGGGGGAAAGTAGGAGGCAGAAAGAAAAACCAGGGCATTTTACTAGCAACTGAGAAAGTGGGATTGCAGAAGATTAATTGGCCAAATCCTCTGGAAGGCATAGAACCTTTGAAGAAAAACAGCCATGAACCCTATAAATGGTTTCGCTGATGCAGTGATGATAGTAACATAGAGAAAAGGTCCCAGTTTGGTCTGGCGTTCAAGAGGACCTTTGAAAGACTTCTGCGAACCAGGGATGAAGAGGGGTCCCGCCACCAGATCAACTTCTGCTTCCGTCTTTGGAGATTTGCCTGCATCAGGGGCCCAATTATAGGAGAGGTGAATTCTCAAGTCCCATTTGAAAGGTGTGCTTGTGGGTGTGCAATTCAGACATTGCACACCACCCACCGTCTTGACCAGATGCATCTCTTTGGAAGAGTCTTCCTGCTGCTTTCCTTGCAAGCTGACCACCAAGAGACCCACAATCCTTAGTTTCACAACAGTTGCAAGTAGAGCTGGGGCCTTCAACCGGGGACCATCTAGAACAACAAAGCAGATGCTGATAAATCACCATCCCCCCCCCCCCCCAGTATTCCCTATTAGACAAGGAATTGTATGGAATCAGGGCCAAGATCATTATGCGGCATCATTGGGACGGAGGGATAGACTCCTTTGCTGGCTTTTTCTGGAAGGAAGCAAGGTCTTGAGCCTTGTCTGCAAAGAGTGCTGTGGCCTCACCAAATGACACATTCCAGGATTCTATAGCATTGAGTCATAGCAGGTAAAGTTGTATGGAACTCTACAGTGTAGATGCACCTAGAACCCAGACCCAGTCTTGCATGAGCGACTTACGTATTACTTGTCTTGTTGAACAAACGAGCCTTGATCGAAGGCTCGGGATCTTGATCGGCTGCTGTAACTTTCAAGTGGCAAGTGAGATAGACCTAGAGAGCAACAGAAGATAAATTGCTTCCTTGGAGGAGACTCCTGGAAGATGGCTTCATGCCGTACAGTCTTATGACACCACGAACTAAATGCCACTGGTACAGCTAGCTCCTGCATTTAGATTATAATGGAGGCTTGGAAAGTGTTGTTCTTTGGCATGCTCTTGTAGAGAGACTGAATCACAGGACAGCCAGTCAACCTTAATCAGATGCCCAGACCATCTCCATTGCCCCGTTCTGTGTCCAATGAACTGGTCTGTCCACCTTATTGAACCATCTTTTCAAGTTTCCTCCAAGATAAGCATTTCTTTAAAATGTCTTTAATTCTGAGAGATCCCCCCCCCAATCTGTTCAAGACAACCCATTGACTCCAACGCTCAAGCCAACTCATTGACACCAATGCTCAAGCCAACCCATTGATGCCAATGCTCAAGCCAACTCATTGACACCAAAGCTCAAGCCAGCTCATTGATGCCAATGCTCAAGCCAACCCATTGATGCCAATGCTCAAGCCGACTCATTGACACCAATGCTCAAGCCAACCCATTGACTCCAACGCTCAAGCCAACCCATTGACTCCAACGCTCAAGCCAACTCATTATTTATTTATTTATTTTATTTCACAGTTTTCTATACCGAGCTTCTCAATCTCATTGAGGGACTCAGCCCGGTTTCCAGCCATAAAAAACATATACACTCATTAAAATATCATATATCACAATTACAAAAACAACTTTAAAAACACTATATATAAAACTACAGTGGTCAGTCGTCCTATTAAGATGGCTCCAATGCTCAAGCCAACTCATTGACTCCAATGTTCAAGCCAACCCATTGATGCCAATGCTCAAGCCAACTCATTGACACCAAGGTGAAAGCCAACTTTGATGCCCCCCTTCACACCAACACAGAGTTCTACTGGAGGACCTAGAGATTCTTATAGAAAATACACTAATCAAATCTGAAGTGCTATTATTATTATTTATTTCCTGTATTTCTATCCCGTCACTTCTCAACCCCCGAAGGGAGACTCACAACAGCTTTCAATGGGCCCCGTTACAAGGCCTCTACATAACAATTACAATAATAAAACCACAATTGGACATAAATCAGAGTTAAACAATACATAAGCAATCATTAAAAACAGTAAAACAGTCTCGTCAGCCATGTTGAACCCACAAATCTAGAAGGTTGACAATACTTTTGCTGAATGCGAAGTGGAGTCCCATTCATGAAAGAAGGGGAAATAAACAAATCGTAATTCCAAATGGATTTCTCTTTCTCACCAAATCCCGAGGGTCCATTGCAAACCTGAAGGCATCTAGGGTGAACCGGAGTGAGTTCTCCTGGGGTCTTGGGGCCAGGAAGGCTGAACTGGAGTCGGGCAAATTGCCATCGATTAAACAGCTGAAAACAAAAGAAACAATCAAACTCCTTGTCCAGCATGAGTCCGGAGACTAAGGCTGATGGGAGTTCCAGTCTGATAATATCTGCAAGGCTATACATTTCGGCAACCTTATTCTAGCTTCAGTCACCAATCCAGGTCAATGGTGGAGCATCAATGCTTACCCGTTGTAGTCAAGGACTGGATACTGGGGCCTAGAGTCTTTGGCTAGACTTAAGGTAGCCACACAGCTGTCAATTAAAAGTCTCAGAGGCATGTCGTCCTTTGCATTGACATCGGCCTGGACATGGATCACATCTCCAAGCTGGAAACTGCTGGAAGCTCTTTCTGCACTCCAGTCACCTGGAAAAACAACAACAACAACAACAACAACAACATGTGCTGAGTATTCCTTGCCTAAGAAAATCCAATGACAGTGGTTGGAGTTCAGCTTCCCGAATTCTAGATAGTTGACCAATCTGGTTGAGACTTCCGAGAGTTGGAAGTCCAAATACCTGGAGACTAAAGGTTGGGGCCACTGCACCATGACATTCATAGGGCTGCCATAAGTTAGCAAAAGTCTGAATCATTATTTTAAAGGGTTGATTAGAGATGGGAAACCATGAGATAATAATTCACATTTGCTTATATGACTCATGGGGAAGCCACCTGTATACTATACAAATGAAATCCTTCCAGAAGTTTCTCCAGATATTTTGGGTCTCCAGCTCCCATCAGCCTTAGCCAGCATAGACAACGGTCATGCATGATGGAAGTTGTAGTTTAGAATTATTATGAAAGGTTACATCTTCTCCAATCTGGCTTTACAGTATATTCAAGTATGGTACTAGAACAGTGGTTCCCAATCTTTCGTCCTCCAGGTGTTTTGGACTTCAACTCCCCGGAATCCCAGCCAGTTTACCAGTTGTTGGGAATTGTGGGAGCTGAAGTCCAAAACACCTGGAGAACCAAAGATTGGGAACCACTGTACTAAAAGCAACAGTTCCACTTGCCTAAAAGAAAAATAATCTAGCAAAGCATAGGTGGGAACTGTGAAGTTCTCCAGAGCTTGATGGACTTCAAACTCTCAGCACCATTGAATAGGCGGATAAAGCTTTTGGTGAATGCAGTTTCCATCCCTGAAACAAGCAAGGAACATGCAATTTCTATACTTCAGATATAGAACCTGTTGATCAGGTAGAGTTTCTGAAACTACGAGTCCATCAAACTTACTCCTGGTCACCCTACTTTCTCCAGGAGATGGGATCAATAAGCTCTCCTTTGGACTTTTGAGAAGATACCTCTAATTCTATGGCCACTCACCATTCATGAGACGCAAGGAGAAGGCCAGCCCCTGTTCCGCAGAAAAGGTTGAGCTGAAGGGAACCCAAGTTGGCTTGATGATGTTGCTGCTCCTGAAAGAGAAATCTTGGTGCCAAATACAGTTTCCTGAGGAGCCGCTTCTCAACAGGGAGCAACGAGGTGGTCTCTCACCTTGGATAGTGACACTCTAGAGGAACGTCAACTGGGCTGGTCCTGGGAATCACAGGCTCGCTCCCGAGATTCGGGTGGTAGTAGAGGCTGATGGCGTAGACAACGGAATCTGGAGTAACCTGCTTTATGAATAACTTTTCAATTAGTTTAAAGCATAGCTACTTTTTATAGCAATTTTCCAGGAAGAGAAAGGATATCAGAACTTTTCTGGAAAACATTTAGACATACAGATTCTATGTAACGGCATTGAATCCACAAACAACCTAGAGTTACATTGGCTAACAAACGAACAAACAAACAAACAAAAGGAATGACATTTTTCTTTGCATTCACAATACACATACACATCCATTCATCCTCATGCATCCCGATATTTCCACATCCGTTCTCCCTCCGTGGAGAAGCACCTGCTTAAGCCACACCGTTTTCCCTGCAGCCTGCCAACACCCAACACTTTCAAAACACCAGGATGCACCTCTTTCCCTAATATATAATTTTTTTTAAAAAAAGGAGAGATGCACCAAAGTATACCTTTCTCCCGATGGAATCCAATCTTTGGTCCACTCTGTCTGCCGGGGAGAGGTCGCGCCCAAGAGATCGTAGGGAATCAAGAGGCCTCTCACCTGACAGCTCGGCTTCGCCTCCCGAGCGGTGTCGTCCTGGCGGTTGGGACAGAGCAGGATCTGGAGCAGGTGGCTCGGAGTCGATCCGGTGCAACGGCCTTTGTTGTTTGGCAGCTGAGGATTGAGCTTCTTTTGCCAGCCTTGTGGTCTGTCTACTAGGCTTGTTTGATCCAAGAGAGAGAGAGAGAGAGAGAGAGAGAGAAGGCTCAAAACCCGTTTTGGATGTTGTGGGCGCTGGTGGTTCGATTCTAAAGTCAATTCCGATTTTCACAAAAAGAAGTTCAAAACTTTTCAAAACTTCGGATACTTCAGAATTGTTTTGTTAATGGTTTGAAAGTATTATTTCCCTTTTTCATTGGGTGGTCTTTACTTTGAAAGTAGTTGTTTTATTCCAGGAGTGGGGAAAAGCAAGCAGAGGAAATTCCTTTCCTTTCCAGTTTAAAACTGGCTTCTCTGGCTTGAGACAGAACCGGGAAAATCAAATGGAGCAAATTGATGCTTCTTTGGTTTATAACTGGCTTCTCTGGCTTTGAAACTGGCTTGCTTCTCTGGCTTGAGACAGAAGTGGAGCAAATTCATGCTTCTCTGGTTTATAACTAGCTTTTCTGGCTTTAAAACTGGCTTCTCTGGCTTGAGCCGAGGCCAGGGACCAGAAGCGGGGAAAAGCTGAATTATTTCTGACTCACTTCATGAGTCGTAACAAAAATGGCGAAAAAGCTTCAGAAGGACAAAGGGACTTCCGGTTTTCTTAAAAACTTCAAAATTGCTTCAAAAAGGAAATTTTTCCAACTTCATTCTGAATAACGAAGATTCGGACTGGACCTAACCATGCCTACTGTCTACATCTGCCCTGCTGTCAGAGAACTGAGGAAAGAGCAGCTGTCTTGCTGGGGGTGGAGTCGCTTGTGGAGCAATTGGCACTCAGATGATCATTCGAAAGGAGCGTGGTGGAGAATCCTGTGGAGTGGTCGGTATCAGCGTAGTCGAACGTACTGAGAATATGGAGCCAAACATTGACACTACCACTGATGGAGCCAACTGTTTAGGAGGACCTGACTTCTTTTTGGCAGGCTCAGAAGACTTGAAGCTTTAGTAGAAGTGTCCAAGGGAACTGTGAATGTCGAAGGAGCGAGGAACTGTTCGTAGAGGAGGGAATGAAGCCTCGCTTCCCAGTTTTTGTCTCGTCTGTGCCATAAAGACATGAGAGTCTTGGCATGAGCCGACAGTGTGGCCCTCTCCCAGGCACTGGAGGCACTTAGCATGGCCGTCTTAGCAGTGCATTGGGAGCAAGTTTTGAAGCACTTGGTCGACAAGAGGTCAGCATGAACTACAAAGAAGTTCGCAAAGAGCTGCTGCAGCGGTCAAGGGTCCTTTATGCCCTGGAGAGGAGTGGGCAGGGTTGCTGCCAACAACTGAACTGAAAGATATAGAGAGGGAGCTGTCCAAATGCCAGAAGAACAGGATAACTTGCAATAAACTTGGTCAATACAAACAAACACAAGTGTGCATGCGGTTCATTTGTCAAACCAATAGTGCATAGCAGGGAGGTGTTCCAGTCCATGGGAATGGTCATTCACCTTGAAAGTGGGATGCAAGGGAAGTCCCTTAGATGCAGGAGGAGAGGAGGCCATCGGCTCGAAGGGTGGTCCGGAAAGTTGCATCAGGACCAGGCCCACGCTCTTGATGGAGGAGGGAGGTTCTTATGTCCTTGGAGAAATGTTTTTATTTTTTAGTGTGAGGAGAGGGTTGGTTTGTTCTCTTCTTGGATAAGCCATGAGATTGCAGCCAAATAATCCCTTATGGAGGCTAGCCCTTGGTTGTTGTTAGCTAGTGTGAGGAGGAAGTCCTGGTTGGGCGCAGAGGAGTAGGTAAGGACCTTCTTCGAAGGAAAGGTGGAGAAGAGGGAGAGCTTAGAGATGAGAGATTTTTTGTGGCTGGTTCATGGGCTTTCTTTAAGATGAATTATGGTCTGCCTTTAGGAGGCTAGTTGGCACGGAGGTCAAGCAGTTACCCTCCAAGCTGTGAGGTGGAGAGAGTCGATATCTGGATGAGAGACGTGATCGACGTGTGTCATGAGCAAGTTCGGTATTGGTGGAGGTTCAGACATGGTGGAAGCCCATCGGTGGCAGAGGTCCTGACAGTGTTGAAGAGCCAGTGGTGAAGGAGGTAGGTTCTTATATCCTTGGAGAAAGGTTTTTATTATATGGTGTGAGATGAGGGCTGGTTTGCCCTCTTGTTGAATAAGCCATGAGATTGCAGCCAAATAAGCTTATATGGAGGTTGTTGTTAGCAAGTGTGAGTAGGAAGTCCAGAATGTCTTTGGTCGGTGAAGAGGAGTAGGTAAGGTCCTTCTTGAAGAGAAAGCTGGAGAAGTGTGAGAGCTTATAGAAGTCCGATATTTTTGTGGCTGGTTTATGGGCTGCCTTTAGGAGTCTAGTTGGCATGGAGGTCAAGGGGTGATCCTCCAAGCTGTGAGGTGGAGAGAGTCAATATCCAGATGAGAGACTTGGCCGCCGCGTGTCTTGAGCAAGTTCAGTATCGACGGGAAGGCTCGGTGCTGACTGCCGACGAGGTGGAGCAGATTTGGATACCTGTGTGAGTCAGCCTGGCGTTATCAGAATGAAGTTGGAGGAATGCATGGTGATCCTTTCCATCACTCTGGTGATCAATGGGATGTAGAGGAATGCATCTGTTTAGTCCAGGAGGAATGCTAAGGCCCTGGCTGAGCGGGGTCAGAGAATATGGAGCCAAACATTGACGCTACCACTGATGGGGCCGACTGTTTAGGAGGACCTGCCTTCTTTTTGGCAGACTCAGAAGACTTGAAGCTTTAGTAAAAGCTACCAAGGGAACGGTCAATGTTGAAGGAGTGAGGAACTGTTTGTAGAGGAGGGAATGAAGCCTTGCTTCCCAGTTTTTGTCTCGTCTGTGCCATAAAGACATGAGAGTCTTGGCACTGGAGGCACTTAGCATAGCCGTCTTAGCAGTGCATTGGGAGCACGTTTTGAAGCATTTGGTCGACAAGAGGTCAGCATGAACTACAAAGAAGTTCGCAAAGAGCTGCTGCAGCGGTCAAGGGCCCTTTTATGCCCTGGAGAGGAGTGGGCAGGGTTGCTGCCGACAATTGAACTGAAAGCTATAGAGAGGGAGCTGTCCAAATGCCAGAAGAACAGGACAACTTGCAATAAACTTGGTCAATACAAACAAACACAAGTGTGCATGCGGTTCATTTGTCAAACCAATAGTGCATAGCGAGGAGGTGTTCCAGTCCGTGGGAATGGTCATTCACCTTGAAAGTGGGATGCAAGGGAAGTCCCTTAGATGCAGGAGGAGAGGAGGCCATCGGCTCGAAGGGTGGTCCGGAAAGTTGCATCAGGACCAGGCCCACGCTCTTGGTGGGGGAGGGAGGTTCTTGTATTCTTGGAGAAAAGTTTTTATGTGGAGTGAGAAGAAGGCTGGTTTGCTCTCTTGTTGGATATGCCATGAGATTGCAGCCAAATAAGCCCTTATGGAGGCTAGCCCTTGGTTGTTATTAGCGAGTGTGAGGAGGAAGTCTTGGTTGGGTGCGGAGGAGTAGGTAAGGACCTTCTTCGAAGGAAAGGTGGAGAAGAGGGAAAGCTTAGAGATGACAGATTTTTTTGTGGCTGGTTCATGGGCGGTCTTTAAGATGAATTATGGACTGCCTTTAGGAGGCTAGTTGGCACGGAGTTCAAGCAGTTACCCTCCAAGCTGTGAGGTGGAGAGAGTCGATATCTGGATGAGAGACTTGGCCAATGTGTGTCATGAGCAAGTTCAGTATTGGTGGAGGTTCAGACATGGTGGAAGCCCATCGCGGCAGAGGTCCTGATAGTGTTGAAGAGCCAGTGGTGGAGGAGGTAGGTTCTTATATCCTTGGAGAAAGGTTTTTATTGTATGGTGTGAGGTGAGGGCTGGTTTGCCCTCTTGTTGGATAAGCCAAAAGATAGCTGCAAATAAGCTTATATGGAGGTAGTTGTTAGCAAGTGTGAGCAGGAAGTCCAGAACGTCTTTGGTCGGTGAAGAGGAGTAGGTAAGGTCCTTCTTGAAGAAAAAGCTGGAGAAGTGGGAGAGCTTATAGAAGTCTGATGTTTTTGAGGCTGGTTTATGGACTGCCTTTAGGAGGCTAGTTGGCATGGAGGTCAAGCAGTTACCCTCCAAGCTGTGAAGTGGAGAGAGTCACTATCTGGATGAGAGACTTGGCTGATGTGTGTCATGAACAAGTTTGGTATTGGTGGAGGTTCAGACATGGTGGAAGCCCAGCGGTGGCAGAGGTCCTGATAGTGTTGAAGAGCCAGTGGTGGAGGACCCCTAGTGATGGTGGGCAGCCATCAATGGTGGAGTCTTCTGGATGGAGCAAGCTGAGTGATAGAGGAGGCCTCTGGTTGGAAGAGGTTCTGCAATGTAGAAGGCTCCGCCATGGAGGAGGTTCTGTGATTGAGGAGGCCGCTAGATGTTATTTATGTATTGATTGTATGAGG